CTGAACATGATGCAAGTTTTACAACGAGTTTAACTGCTAGGTGTATTGCTTAAGGATTTTGTAAGTCAGAATATGATCACAGCTACACTAACAGCACGAAGGAACAAATGAATTCAAGCCCTGTTTCAAAACGATGACTCCCTGGGGGAAAGGGAGCACTGGGAGCTTCCACAGGACTGTGACATTTAGGTCACTTGGGTGAGAGGTCATAAACTCTTACCATGATTTTTTTTTTAAAGAGACAGGGTCTGATGGAGTCCAGTGCAGTCTGGTCTGGACTGTGGAGTTAAGAATGACCGTGTGTGTGTGTGTGTGTGTGTGTGTGCTAGTGTGCATATGTGTATATTTAGGTCCATCTGTGCACACAAGCATGTAGAGGCCAGAAGCTGACAATGGGTGGGGGTCTTCCTCTGGCTTTCTTTACTTCATTCATTCATTCATTCATTCATTCATTCACTCACTCACTCACTGAGACAGGGTCTCTTAACAAACATGAAGCTCATCAGCTTGGCTATACTGGTTACCCAGCAATCCCAGCAGTTCTCCCCTCTCTGTCCACCCCCAGCACTGAGGTGACAGAGGCTCACCACCAGGCCCAGCTTCTTACATCAGTGCCGGGGATCCAAACTCAGGTCCTCAGACCTGCATGGCCCCTGACCTTGAACTTGTCTCCTGAACGTTAGGACCACAGATGTGTGCACAATACCATGCCTGGCATATTGTACAAGTGCCTAATAAATTAAGATCGTATATTCAAGATGACGCCCCCATGGCAGAGTCAAAAGATATTAGCAACAGCACCAAGTTAGCTGGATTCTGCCCATTTGATGGGGGCAGAAAGACGCAATACACAATGAGTACAGTACAAACAATCTCACCAGCTCCTTGCTGGGCGGCTGCTGTCTCTGCACACGCGGCTTAGCCCCCTGGGGAGACTGACATGCAAAGCAATGAGCTATTAAAGTTCCTCAACGACGATTTGAGTCTTGATACCTTCAATCCCTGGAGACCAAGTCTCCATCCGTGACCCCAACCTCATGGTATCTTAACCACCCCAGGTCAGTGCTGGGAAATAAACTGATTTTTATAAAAACTAAATTATTTTTACAGGGCCAGCGGAGGAATTGACTCCTGCTCAGAGGCAATCACACTGGCTTAGTGCTTTATTGGGAAAGTGGGAGACCCCAGAGAGCAGCAGCGGGATTACAGGGGCTGGGAATAACACTGGTTTAGTGCTTTATTGGAAAAGTGCCTACTGGGAGACCCCAGAGAGCAGCAGCCGGATTACAGCCAGGGCAGAGCGAAGTGGGCTACATCCCCCCTTTTGTTAGAGCTGCTGAGTGAGTACTGTGCTCCCCAAACTCTAAAAGATGGGGTAACTGCCTAGATCACATGTGCATGAGTAGTTGATTCAGGAGTCAACTCCAGGTCTATCTCATGCAAATGAGATATAAAGTAGACTTTCCTTACAGAAAAGATCCCAGGGGCCACCAAGCCCAGGCTCTTCTCCCGGGGGGGTGTTTCCAACAGAGGACAGCGCTGGGCTTCTCATTAGTGTGAGCTCCAGAGCAGAGCCTCGGGGTGTTTGTGGAGCACTGTCCCCAGGGCAGGGATGGAGGACCATCCCTGGAGTAGAGCACCAGCCTCAGGGTGAAGGACCACCCCAGTGAGGATCACCAACCTCAGGGTGGAGGACTATCCCAGTGAGGATCACCAACCTCAGGGTGGAGGACTATCCCAGTGAGGATCACCAACCTCAGGGTAGAGGACCACCCCAGTACAGAGCACCAGCCTCAGGGTGGAGGACCATCCCCAGTGCAGAGCACCAGCCTCAGGGTGGAGGACTATTCCAGTGCAGAGCACCAGCCTCAGGGTGGAGGACTATTCCAGTACAGAACACCAGCCTCAGGGTGGAGGACTATTCCAGTGCAGAGCACCAACCTCAGGGTGGAGGACCATCTCTGGAATAGGGCACCAACCTCAGGGTGGAGGATCATCCCCAGTGCAGAGCACCAGCCTCAGGGTGGAGGACTATTCCAGTGCAGAGCACCAGCTCAGGGTGAAGGACCATCCCTGGTGTAGGGCACCAACCTCAGGGTTGAGGACCACCCCAGTAAAGAGCATCAGCCTCAGAGTGGAGGACCATCCCTGGTGTAGGGCACCAACCTCAGGGTTGAGGACCACCCCAGTGCAGAGCACCAGTCTCAGGGTGGAGGACCATCCCTGGTGTAGGGCACCAACCTCAGGGTGGAAGACCACCCCAGTGTGGAACACCAGCCTCAGGGTGGAGGACCATCCCCAGTGTGGAGTACCAGCCTCAGGGTGGAGGACCATCCCCAGTGTGGAGTACCAGCCTCAGGGTGGAGGACCATCCCCAGTGTGTGCTGAGTGCCGTTCCCAGTGCTGACACCACCCACTGGGAACTGAAGCTGGGTCCTCTGGAAGATCAGTCAATGCTCTAAGTGCTGACCCCTCCTCTACCCTGATGTGCACCTTCCTTATCTCAGTGCATGGCCTTGCACTCACTAAGAAGCATAAGACTGGGCCAGTCCCACCCGTCATTCCCAAGCACAGCAGCTGAGATCAGCTCTTCCCTGCCCTATGTTACTCTGTGCTGTATAAAACAGCAGCCTTTGCTTTACTCTGGGAGACCCCATTTTATAAGCATCTCCGAGGCTGTTTAAGGATGGAAGATGATCACATTCCTGAGTGGGCACCATCTGACAGGGGCCACCCATCCAGCGCTGACGGAGTGTGGCCACAGGAACACATGGGTGTACCACACCCATACCCAGAAAGACCAGGCCCAGGAATTGAATGGACACGTTTACAGAAAGAGCCTGATTCTCTCACCTGGACCTACTGACCATGTGATGGTGACAGCCCTGGCTGCCTCACATCCAGACACTCAGCCCGTGCTTCATCGACGGTAAACTCTCGGCTATTCTGGGGCTCAGCTCAGCTCTGTTCCTTTTGTTCCTGCAGCATACTCCAGCTGCCAGCTGCCTGTCCTCTTGTTCACCTGTTTGTACCTGTTGTCCATCTGTCCATCTGTCATTCATCAGGCCCTGGTCCGTTCTTTTCCTCACCTCATGCCTCCAGCTCAGCTATAACCCTTCAGCCTACAGCAGCAGCCAGGACATCTCCAGAGACCTCTGTGTGCTTGGTCATCTCGCCTCCCTGAGATTCTCTTGTTCTCTTAATAGTTTCTGAGGTCTTTTTGAGGCATCCTGACTCTTTAACCCTTTGCAGCTATTCTGTAAGCTACATATATGCATGACAGATAGGTAGGTATGTAGGTAGGTAGGTAGATAGATAGATGATAGATAGATCGATAGATGATAGATTCACAGTGTGTCATGTGTGATCTGAGCATTAATGTGAATAAGAGGGAAATAAAAGAACTCATGTTCTCCTCAGCTGAGGTCATCAAGCAAAGCACAGATATTTGGTAAATCGCTGTTGCTGAAACCGCCATACCCTGGGAATTTGTTAGTACATCTTGACATTGTGGAAAGACACAAACATGTTTGTGTGTGTTTCTGACATAGAGTGACATGTTCTGGTCACACTCACAACAGTCGGCTACCATGGGTCTTCTCTTTTTCCTAGGCTTCCCCTGTCTACTGAGCGTCTATGTGGATATGAGACGGACCCCAGTTTTGCAAAGTACAGGCACCCAAGCCGGGGCTTTTTCCAGTGGCACTGGCATCTCTGCACTGTTTGATTCTTTACTGTGAAGAGCTTGCCTCCTTGGAGACCCCACCCACCCACTTAGCCACTTGCTATCCCCATGAACTAGCTCTCTAGGGAAATACTAGGACTTCGTGTGGTAAAGAATCTAAGCAAGACAGCAGGGAGAGAGATGGGGAAAACGAAAGACAGGACAGGAAGGCTGGCTTTCCGTGTGCTCAGGCACAGCCAGCCAGTTTGGTCGTGCCACAGAACATCCAGGAACAACGAAGAACTGCCCAGACACTGGAATCAGTCGATGGAGAAAGCGGCTATCAGATTCATCAGCTCCCAAACACTCGGTGTATCCCGGGAGACCATGAATGGCAAACTTGTGATTCTAGTCACGCGGCGGCAGCAGCCCATCCCAACCTTGCACATATCGGCTGTGTTTTACCCTGGACGATTCTGCTTGCATTTCTTGGCCTCTATGAGGCTTTCTCCAGACCCTACTACTAACCAGCCCACGTTCAGTGTCCCCACAGTCTGCAGAAAAGTTGGTCTGAGGTGGGGGACAATTCTGTATTCTGTCAATTATGTTTTAAATAAATGCTGATTGGTCATTAGCCAGGCAGGAATTATAGGTGGGAAAGCCAGACAGGAAGCAGAGGTGCAGCAATGAGAACAGGAGCATTCTGGGAAGAAGGAAGCTCTTTCTGCCGTCCTGCCCAGACACTGAAGAAGGAAGATGTGACTGCCCGGTTGAAAAAGGTACTGAGCCATGTGGCTAACATAGATAAAAATAATGGGCTAATATGAGTTGATAAGAAGCCTGAGCTAATGGGCCAATCAGTTTATAACTTATGTAGACCTCTGTGTGATTGTCTTTGGGGCTAACTGGCTGTGGGAACTGGACAGGACAGAAACCCCAACAAGCAGCCCAGCCCTCATGTTACAGGTCTGCCTGGGGCACATATGTGGAGGCTGATACTTGTCCTTTTGCATCTGAGTTATTAGGAACCCACCCAGTTCACTGTTACCCAGTTCACTGTTTCCAATGCACATTGCAATTTCAGTGAGCCCAGGACACTTAGGAGAGACTAAAGCTACCAGGGGCGGAGCTTTGAAAGGGTGGGCAGAGCATAGGAGGCAGGGCCTTTCATTCTCACAGCTTCCTTTGTGCTCTCCCGCGGCCCCTCCCATCCCTCTCAGACAGTCCTTGGCTGGCATTAGTGATCTGGGCACAGCTGTCTATCAGCGCTGATCCTACCCAGTGGGAGGAAGTAGTGGTATCAACAGCCCAGCCCTCCAAGCACACAGTCACTCACCTGGCTTGCTGGCAGACACAGCAAACCCACAGCTTCTCATGCTTCTGGTAGGAGCAACAGCTCTTGCAGACGCTGAACTTGCATTCCCCACAGCGGCGCCTGGCGTTGACCAGGAAGGTGAAGGGCGAGCAGCACCGCATACAGCAACGCTCCACAAACTTCTGGTGTTTCGAGAGGATGCTGCACTTGCTGTTCTCCTCGGCCAGCCTCTGCTTCATCTCACTGCAAACCAGAAAGAGCGGGAGATGGTGAGGCGGAGGAAAACATCGGGGTGCGGATGTCAGCCCAGAACGCCCGGCCTGTCCCCTGCACATGCCTTGGTAAACCCTTCCTATAGAGCAGTGGTTCTCAACCTTCCCAGGCTATGGCCCTTTAATACAGTTCCTCATGTTGTGGAGACTCCTGAGCCATATAATTATTTCGCTGCTATTTCATAACGGTAATTTTGCTACTGTTATGTGTTATAATGTACATATCTGATATGTGACCTCAAAGGGGCCTTGACCCACGAGCGGAAAACCATTGTTACGGACCCACAAAGCCAGAGAGCCCGTGTGTGTGTGTGTGTGTGTGTGTGTGTGTAAGTAACAAGAAGGGCCAGGCCTGCTTGTTTGTGGTGGGTTTTGTCCTGCCCGGTACCCCACAATTGTTTAGCCCCAAAGAAAATCACACAGAGATCTCTATAAGTTATAAAGTTGATTGGCCCATTAGCTCTAGCCTCTCACTGGCTAACTCTCACATCTTGATTAACCCATTTTTCTGATCTATGTTAGCCATGTGGCTCAGTACCTTTTTTCAGTGGGGCAGATCACATCCTGCTGCTTCGGTGGTCTGGGCAGGAGTGGGAGGAATCAACTTCCTCCTTCCCAGAATTCTCCTGTTCTCATCACATTATTTCTACTTCCTGTCTGGTTTTCCTGCCTATATTTCCTGCCTGGCCAATCAGTGTTTATTTATAACATGATTGACAGAATACAGACAATTCTCCCACACCAGTGTGTGTGGTGTGTGTAGTGTGTGTATGGGGTGTGTGTGGTGTGTGTGTGGTGTATGTATGTGTGTTGAATTTACATGTGGAAACCAGTGGCCACCCTTGAGTGTCTTCTCTCCTTAAGGTTCAGAGACAGTCATGAAAGAGGTGGAAGGAAGATTTTAAGAACTGGAGGTCAGAGAGGACCAAGGACACACAGTGTCTCTGGACATGGCAGAACCATTGCGCTCAGAACTCACAGTGGTGGCCTGCGTGAGATCAAGGTGGTGAGTAGCCCAGCATGGGTGGGAAGGGGTGTAAGAGTTCCTGTGCCCAACTGAAGAGTTGGACAGTCAGTTGCGTCTATGGAAGGGAGTCGGTTCTTTAAGGGTGCGTCACCCACACCCTGGTGGATGTCCCCATGCCCAGAAGTAGACAGGCAGTGCTGCTGGAGTTGGTGAATTATTACATTTTAAAAAAGAGGATGTGGAATTGGAGGTAGGGTTAGGGATGTTGGTGCGGATCTGGGAGGAGTTAAAAAGGAGGAGTCGGGCTGAATAGGATCAAAATACATTACATAAACCTCAAGAATTAATAGAAATGTTTTAAGAAACACATTAGTGTCTTACTCCATTGCTTCTCTCCACTGTATTTTTTGAGACAGGTTCTCTTACTGAGCCTGGAACGCATTGATTGGCTAAACTGGCTGGCCAATGAGCTCTGGGCATCTCCTGTCTCCACCTCCCCAGCACTGGCACTACCACATCCCACTGTAGTTAGTGTTGGTTCTGGAGACCTGAACTCCATCCTCACTCTTGTGTAGCAGGTCCCTTTCCCACCGACCCATCTTCCCTGCCTCCAAGAGACCAGTCCTTGACCTCATGGCCACAGAGGGACTTTGCATGGTAGGTTAATTTGCTGTGCCCCTGGGCATCATGAAAACCTAAGCACCCATTCCTCAGACCTACATGGAGGGATAAATCACCACTAAAAATAAGCAACCTTGCAGAATAAAATCTTTCACTTCATTAACGTCTTTTTAGCAGGGCAGGAGATTGCTTCTGCTAAAACATTAATCCCCCCAACAGCCCTGCTGTGTCTCTGATGCTCCACTTCACACCCTTGGAGACCTGCACAGCCAGAGGCTTGGAAAGCTTTCAAATCAACAGAAGCTGGTAAGGCTCCTCCGGCAGATCTGAGACACAGTGACTCCAATCTGGACAAAAGACTTCCATCGAAGTTCCTGGTCACATGGGCATGTGGCCAGCTGCAGTAAAGTAAAATCCTACAACTTGTGCATCCCTGTGAGGTCAGTAAAATGGATAGGAGGAGCCCTAAGAAGGAGGAGCGGCCCCAAACATCCTGAGTGACAAGGGTAGGCACTAACAGTAGCCCCACAATTCAGACTGGGCAAGTAGGGTTGTCTGTCCTGCTACAAAAGCTGGGGCTCCTAGGCAGGGATAGAAGCTTTTTATTACAACTACTGTTACTGTTACATGATCCTACTACTGCATCACGTAATGGGTCTCAAGTCAACAGAGCTATGAGAAAACCAGGCTGTGGGAATTTCTCAGGGTCATTACAGCCAATCATGTATGGGTGGCCCATTGCTGCTCAAAGGATATAGCACATTACAGCATTATTTTCTCTTTAGTATTGAACTTTATTTCTAGTAGATCTTACATCTTAGTTATTTTGTCTATCATCTATCTATTTGTCTATCTATCTATCTATCTATCTATCTATCTATCTATCTATCTATCTTTGTGTTGATTATCTAAGATGGGGTTTCTCTGTGTAGCCCTGGCTGTCCTGGAACTCACTCTGTAGACCAGGCTGACCTTGTATTCACAGAGATCCACCTGCCTCAGCCTCCTGAGTGCTGAGATTAAAGATGTGTGTTGGTCCTCATGAGGCCAGGCTTAACTTCCTGAGCCTAACTTGAGTCTGGAGAGGAGTGGCTCAGCACAGCCTGACCTAGGCCTACATCTGCCCAGTCACTGATGACGTGGCAGGATATTATTGGCCCTTATTCCTCACTCCACCTCGCCCTACTCCAAGACTCACACCCACTACCTCAGCCCTATATAGTAAGTTCCTGCCCTGATGTAATAAAGAGAGTTCCTGCTTCGACAGTCTCCCAGCTCATTGTGTGTTTCTCTCCCGTGGCTGTGGGGGGAGGCATCTGGGTCATCAACACTCACCATCCCGCTCAGCCCTAGGGAGAGACCAGCGGGACCAGCTCTGCCTCATCCCTGTCTGCTGGAGAACCAGGCACACGTGCACCACCATTGCCTGGTCTCATGTATTTGGTTTTAGTTTTGAAAAGTTTATACATGTATACAATGTATCTCAATCGTATCCAATTCCTACTCCTTCCAGCTTCCCCAACACTGTATCTGCCAACCAACTTCAAGTCTCTCTCTTTTTTTATAACTCACTAAGTTGGATGAGTGTCACTGATTGCCCTAGGGTATAGACAACCTACCAGTGGCCCGTTCTCCCTGAACAACCATCAGCTGCCATTGGCTCCCTAGGAGCGTGGGGGTGTGATGTGTGGAGGCCCTCCCTGCTCCATGCTGGAATCTTTAACTCTTGTGATCTTATCTGGTGTGGCAACCACAGCAGGTGTGAATGAATGCATATACCAGCTATGCCATGTCCGGAGGCCAGCAATCTACGGTGCTCTGCCCTTTCTCCTGCTTTTACATTCTTTCTGCCCCCTCTTCCACAATGTCCCTGAGCCTTTCTGCTACTGAGCAGCACCTCAGGCCTGCATGTGCCCCATGTTGTTTATCTGCTCATCGGCTGCCTGGAATTAAATTATGTCTACTTTCGGCTGTTATGGTTAATCCTGCTGTGAACATTTATATGCAAGCTCTGTGTGGATACATCTCAGTTACAGGAATGGGACAGCTGAGCCATATGGTTGGTAACTATACCTGGAAAATTACCAGACACATTTTCTAAATGTCTCCATCATCCCCATGGCCTGCTGGGAAGACTCCAGTGTCTCCACACCCCCACTATGAAGGCCCCCTTTTCTAATGGCCGTCATCTTAGAGGACATGAGCTGTATTGTGCTGTGATTCTGATTTTCCAGGCTCTAAGACTAATGAAGATGATTGATTTAATGATACCGAGCATGCTTTCATGGGCTATCAACCATCTGCACCTTGTCAGTTCAAATCCTTTGCAAGTTTCCCAGTGGGAGAAAGTATTTTTCTTTTCCTGTTTGCTGCTTTGTAGAGATCGTAATCTATTCTGGACACAAGTTCCTTATCAGACATGTAAACTGGAAATCTTTTCCCGTCCTTCCACTAAACAGTATATCCTCCCAGCATGTTTTAGAGATGAAGGGAGATGCCAATCATTCTCCGAAGTAGGAAGGGACATGTGCACACAGCAGGGACGGCACAAAGACAGCCTCTCAACAAAGATGCTGTTCAGATCCTTAGAACTGGAGCAGGCAGTCAGCTAAGTCACCGGGAGCAACACAATTAATAAATAATATAAGAACCTCCAGTTGACTGATTTGTATCAAATTTCAGACAACTAAATTTAACGGCTGAAGCATCCCAGAAAGCAAATCTTCATGGTCACAGCAACTCCAGGAGTCACCTGCAAGTCAGTGGAGCTTGAGGAGTCTGGTTTCTTGATATACAGGACTGCAGATTCCTGAAGGTTTTCTGGAAGCTTCTCTCAGCAGGGAGCATGTGAGGTAAAGCAGGGAGGGGAAAAGGGCTTGACCAGTGGAAGCCAGCATGTTAGGGAGAGGGTTAAAGAGAAAGGGCAGACTCTACCTTCCATTGTTACCAGTTGCTGCCAGGTGATGCCTGACTCACAGTGGGCTCTGCCCGGAAGGGAGGCTCAGTCACATAGGTGCGGCTAGCTTGGATATGCACTGGACGCCAGGGTCGAGGGCACTGGAGGGAGGGTGGGTATGCATTGGACGCCAAGGTCAGGGGCACTGGAGGGAGGGTGGGTATGCACTGGACGCCAGGGTCGGGGGCACTGGAGGGAGGGTATGCACTGGACGCCAGGGTCAGGGGCACTGGAGGGAGGGTGGGTATGCACTAGACACCAGGGTCGGGGGCACTGGAGGGAGGGTGGGTATGCATTGGACACCAGGGTCAGGGGCACTGGAGGGAGGGTGGGTATGCACTGGACGCCAAGGTCGGGGGCACTGGAGGGAGGGTGGGTATGCATTGGACGCCAGGGTCAGGGGCACTGGAGGGAGGGTGGGTATGCA